CTCCTGCACACCTCCTACTGGGGATGTGCCCACAACCAAGGGTACATGCCCTTGACCGGAATCGAACCTGGGACCCTTCAGTCCGCAGGCTGACGCTCTATCCACTGAGCCAAACCTGTCAGGGCAGTAAAGCTATTGTAATAATCATAGCCTGGGTGTCTTTCCATACAAACACCTGTAAACGCACTTTTTGCCCACCCCTGTAGGTTGGCTGTGACTTCATCTCTGGGTTGGTGTTTCAGACAGGGCAGGGCTGTTTCGATGGAAAACACGGCTTATTGGGGGACACAAGCTGGGAAGGAGCTGGCACAGCCCTAGTCCTTTGAGCTTTGGTCCCCACAGGGGCTGGGAGCAGCGTGCTGGGCTTGGGCACACCTGCTGCTCACGCTGACCCGATCCCAGGGGACCCTCTGCCACACTGAAAAACAAGCGGCTGTGACTGGAGTTTTTTCGAAGCCCTTGGGAAAGGGAGCATCTGCAGCATTTAGCCGCCGGGATCTGCCTGATCTTCGCTGAGCTGGCACACCGGTGCCCACCTTGCAGAGGTACTGGGGCACCTCCTGGGGCCATGTGGGTTTCTCTTTCCTTAGTTGGCAATTTCATGAACAATGTTATGTCGAGACTGTCCTCAGTGATGAAAATAAGGAAATTAATTTTTAGATATGACTTGTTTTATGTCAGAATATTGTTAGACGCTGTCTACCATAGGTATAGAGGGGTTTCTTTGCAGTTTTGGGTGCTAGCACCAAATTCCATTGTGCAGGAGAAGATGGAATTGCAAATGCAAGTCTCCATGTGCTGTGTTCTCCCCTAGGGTTACAGAATAAATGCGCAGTTTCATCTGTCATGGAAAAACGCGAACTATTTGTTCAAGCTGTGTCTAAGGAGCTGATTGGAGAATTTTTGCAGTTCATTCAACTTGATGTAAGTTTTAGGTTTAGCTTTATTGTGATTTTGACTGTTAATGTAAAACATTTTTCTAAAATTATGTCCATAAATGAAATATAGTCATCTCAGTGAATCCTTAGGGACCAAGGTTTATTTAAAAAACCAAAGTCTGCTAATACAGACCTGCTGATGGACAGCTACTCACAAATTGTATTTCCTGCTTTCCTGCAAGAGACGCTGAAG